TTTTTTTTTTTTTTTTTTTTTTTTTTTTTTTTTTTTTTTTTTTTTTTTTAATTAATATTTTTGGGTGATTGGAGGGCACACGCAGGTGTGGGAGAGAGAGGGGTAAATTAGGGTTTTACCACCATTTTCCCCTCACCTTCTCGTGTTGTCGAACTCAAAATCTATAAACCTCACGTGTTGAACTCAAAAACTACAAACGTTCGGTAGAGATTAACTCCGCTGACCTTTAACGGTGTGGATTGTATTGTAACCCGTATAGAGCTATATCAAAACCATGTTATGATATTCGAGTTAAATTATAAATTTAGTCCCTAAAATCATTGCAAAAACTCGAGCTAAAATCGATGCCAAAAATATAACAATAAAGGTAAGAACATAAATTACGTCGGCTGTAGCAATATCCCATCCGGACCTTATCTCAATCATCTTGTAAAACGTCTAAAAAAATGTATATTTCAAACGTTTGTAAAACGTCTATTTATTTATTTTCAAACATTTAATTAAGATTTATAATTAATTTAAATGTATATTCTAAAAAATGTCATAAAAATTATAAATTAAATAAAATACAAATAAAAGCGGAGACTGCTAAAATAGATAACTTTCAATAGACTACAACTAATGCTGACGTGGATTTACTATATCAGAGATAAAGTGTGACAAATTGCATAAAAAAATAAAGGATTTACTTAAGCTTACTATAGAGGAGGCGTGATGTCAGCTCTCCCCCACTTTAGGTCATGCAGCCAAATGAGCTGCCATGTGACAAATACGTACACATAGAGGAACGTAGCAAGACGAGTGTCTTGGGTGTCTTCCTTCGGAAATAGATTTTTCGAGGATAGTGTCAAATAGCACCGGTGTGTTGACATTATGCCACAACCGATGAGTTAGAGGTTGATATTTGCACACATTATTTGGTACAATATCTACAAATGACTCGATATGGACATGGGAGGGTTCATGCCTTGATTTAACTCAGATGGATGGATGTTCGGGATGTCCCGACGATATAGTTGACTCATGGGATTGATTCTCAATAGGCATGTTCAAGTAAGTTACGATGGTCAATGACATCTTAGGATTTGGAATAACATCACGATATGGGGCCATGTTGTTGGGAACCTGGAAGATAAGATGACTACAAGTTGGCTAGAGTCGTAGACGATTGAGTGACACGTGTGGCCGAACAAGCTTAGATTCCACATGAATTGTGTTCGGTTGGCAAAAGAGAATCTTGTCATGAGTTTATCAAGATCATGACGTCTTACGGTTGAAAATGTACAACTTTGCATTCATTATGCTCTACTAAACTTAGTTTGATTAGTCGAGGGTAATTGGGACCCATCACGAGGCACATCACAAATTTTAGGGTTACCAAAATTAATCAATGTAACGTTTTTAGAGTTCAAACGGTTTTTCAGCACTAAATGCTTAAGAGTTTTGCATGTTTTTTTGCTTCATTTGCACGAAGTAACGTGTCGTATCTAAAAGTAGTCTCTTAGATTTTGGTATGATATACCATATACGGAGTAATCGATAGATTTCTCATTTTCAATTTAGATTCGGGTATAGGCTGATCAATTTTGGCAAGTTAACATTGATTGCTCCCAAAGAAGGTAAGCGTCAAACAATTCTTTCACAATCATTAAGTCTAGCCAACGGACTTCCTCATTCCCGGGCTCTGCAGTCTCGTATACACTCTGATCTTGCAAGTAATAATAAACAAACTCTCTTTCCTTGTTTAGTGGCCCCAAAGCGGAATTGACAGGTGGTAGTTGGTCAAAACTACAGTAGGTAGCCACTCCCTCCTCGGGAAACTATACGCCAGATTTCCCGTTGATATTCAATCAATACATGAACCCATGAGTGTATTTGTACGTTTATTTTTAAATACTTAATAATTCAACTAAAAAAATCACTCTTAATTTAGTTAGAAATTTAAATAATTATATTTAGCATTGCATCAAAATATTATCATAATTTAATTTCTATAATTACTTTGAACCTAATTTTAAATAATTAATTTATTTTTATTAAGTAAATTTAAATAACTAAATTTTAATGTAATTTTTATTTGTGATGAATAATATATCTTAATTTTTAGATTTTTAAAATTTATTTAGTGATCATGTAAATTATTATTCTCAAATAAATAAATTTAATAAAATTATACAAATAATTATTACAATAATCAAATTGAATAATTATGACCATCTAAATTATTATTCTCAATTTTCATTGGGCCAAACTTGGGCTTTGAAAGACCGTTTAACCATTCCGCAATGAGCCTCAACCCTGTGATTGGGCCTGTAAATGGGCTGGATATCGATAGTAAATTCAAGGCTCGGCCCAAATATTAGCTAGATGTGGGCCGAGCATAAGGACATATCTCAAACAAGCAAATAAAATAAAAACATAATAATAATAATAAAATCTCTAAGTATATATTCCAAATGTCAATTATTAAAATAATAAATAGATAAATAGTAACTTATTACCATGATTATAATAAAGTAATATATAAGTTACTCATTAATTAAGTAGATTAACCTTTATCATTCAAAATAAAATATATTTATTTATAATACTTTCCGTAATTAAAAAAAAAAGAATTTATTCCATTAATTTTAAAAACTTAAATTTTGTTCTTATTTTTTTGATAATTTTCGAAAAATAGTCCATTATGTTTAATAACTCAAAATAGTCATCAAAACGGTCAATTTTTACGATTGGTTGGAGATGAGGACGAAATATTCATTATAAGAGTGCAGAAACTCTACGTTAGGCACGTTTTAAAATCATGAAACTGCCGGGGATGCATAATGAACAAAAGCAAACAATATTAAATAGTGGTGTGCTAGCGAGAACGCTGATCCTCGAGGTGGATTGTGAAATCTCCACATCGATTGGAGAGAGAAATGAAATATTTCTTATAAAGTTGTAAAAAGCTATTTATTAAAAAATAAAAGTCGTGTTAAATGATGTTATGTAACCAGCTAAAATAGACAATATCGGATAGTAATAAGGTTTATTAATTTCCATTTTTAACCTTTAAAACTGGAGGGAGACTAAATTTTATATTTTCAAAGATTTATAATTTATAATTTGGAAAGGCAATAACGAGACAAAGTGTCGGTGGGACAAAAAGGGAATCCTAGAGAGAGAAAGTCAGTGGTGTTCAAGGACTATTTTGCCCCTAAAACCTTTTAATATTTATTTATTATAAAAAAATAAAAAAAAACTCATATAAAGATAATATTTTTTTATTATAAACTCAGGATCCTTTCATTCAAAAGTATATATCTCTAATTATAATGAAATGTCTTACCTTTCGAGCAAAGCCACCATAATCCAACATAATCATTTTAGCGGATTATTATCTATCATAATTAACCCATAAAATTATATTATAAATTAAAAACGTTAATCTTGGCACCCGAACATAATCTCAGTTTCTTTTAGAATAAATATAACATTACAAATTAGGGGTGTTTGGTTCACAAGGCACGGTAACCCAACCGTCGCAGCAGTTCACAAAACAACAACCTCGGATCCCTCTACACCGATCAGAATTATGACGATTTTTTTTTTCTTTTCATTTTCTGAAATTATTTTATAAAATTAAAATTTATTAAAAATAAATAAAATTAACATGTCCATTAAATGATTATTTATTTAATTATTGATTGTAAATTATACATATAAATATGAGCTCTTTCCGGCAGGCATTTAATGTAACGAATAATTTTGGTAATTCACTCACAAGGGCTGCCTAATGTTCACGTGACACATTGGTTATTGAAGCCAACCTTAAATCAACATAGTACTTTTAAACTCTTCCTTAAAAAACACAATATTGTACTTTAAAATTAAACTATATATTAAAATATATCTCGACCAGTAAAAATGTACGACGATAAACTATTACTCATACCATAATTTTGTCGTAAAATAAATTATTCGATGTCTGTTCGAATAGGATAGTACAATTGTGCCCTTGAGTTCTAAAGAGGTAAGAACCCTAGTTAGGTTGTGTATTAGTGCAAAATTGAAAAGTTATTGCTTATGCTTCGTGTCTGTTGAAAGATTATAAGCGGAATTACCCAATTCACAGCTTAGAGTTCGTGGGTGTAGCCTTTAACTTGTATCTGTATGGCAATAAAATATAGATATGTCAACGTCAATCTAGATCTTTATTTAATCCTTAAATTTTTTAAAATCCATATATTTATTTAATCCTTGAATTTAAAAATATTTATTATTAAGGTTAAAACTAAATTTGCTTCTAAACATATTCAATATTTTTTTTTTTTACATTCAAAAATTAAGTAGACCTAAAATAAAAATGTATAGAATTTAATTTAAATTAATTATTTATATGTTACAAGAGAGTATTAGATATTTTTAAAATTTATGAAATTATTTGGGTAAATTAGTAATTAAAAATAAATAAAGGAGGAAAAAAAAGAATAATATAATATTGATGGAAAATGGAAATTTTGATATCATCATTTCTGATCTGTGATTACAAGAAATCGAACGGCTGAGATCCACACCCATTCCAGTGGACCCCACACTTTCTCTCTCTCTCCTATTTCCCTTTTCTCTCTCTTCCCCTTTTTTTTGGTATCAAAATTACAAAATATTATTTTCCAATATAACTTAATATCTATTTTTTTTTTTCTACAACATGAACAACAGCTGTGGATCCCTTTGATCCTCTACAGCCGAAACCACGATAATGATGATAATGATGATAATAATAATAATAAAAGTAAGGAAAAAAAAAAGAAGAAGAGGAAACGACAAGTCGACGAAGGCCATGTGACGATGACGACGACAGTTCAAAAAAAAAAAAATCA